CTGAAGCCTTGAACATGGGAGTTTCCGAAAATCAGGGTACCTTATTTGGGGCCCGTATATTACCTGTAGCCGGAAAGACCTACCTTTTTAGGGTTCCTTATTATGGTTTCTATAGATAGGTCCTTACAAAGGTAGGTCTTTTCGGTTACAGGTAGGGATCCTACTATTTGGGGTACCATGTTAGGGTCCCCTCTTTTCGGAAACCCCCACATGAAGCCTGGGAGTAGAGTTCCCCCCCACTTGGAGGCCTGTGGAGGCTCAGGGGAGGCTGATTTAAGGGTTTAGGGTTTAGGGGTTAGAGATTTGGGTTTAGGGTTTAGGGTTAGTCTTCCGGTCCCACCTTCTAGGTGATGGAGGTTCATGGGTAGATATAAGTGGGATTATAAGGCTGGAGGGTTTAGGGTTTAAGGTTTAGGGATTGGGGCTTTCAGGGTTTAGGGTTTAGGGAGTTTAGGGCTTACGGGTAGTTATAAGTGGGGCTATAAGTGGAGTTAGTAGCTACAGTCATAACCGAACTTCGGTTTTGCCATTCCTGGAGACCTTTCCGGCTTAGAGCTTCAGCTTTACCTCAACGTCCTCCAGAACTAAGCTTGCATGTATTCATATAAGGAACATATATAGGAGCAGCAAAACGCCTAAGCCCCAAAACCAATGAACCCTAAACCCTAAACCCCTAAACCCTAAACCCCTGAACCCTAAGTCCTAAAAACCTTACCCCTAAACCCTAACCCGACCAAGTAAAAGAACAAAACAAACGCAGCTTGTCAAGGGTCCAGGTCGCGCTTCGGGGCTTGGGGGTTCATGGGTAGTTATAAGTAGGGTTACGGTTGATGATAGAAATCCTGCGTTACGCATAGTATGGAATATGCCATAATTCCCATAGTTTAGGGTCCCTTAAGGTAATGCAGGATTCATATCATCAACAGCATCTCTATTCTTTCTATGGGAAGTGTGGTGTGTAATGCTGATGAGGGTTGTGACGCTTGCTTTTGATCTTCGTTACCATGATTGTTGTCAACCTTGTGACTATTGGATCCCCATTGTGCCAGTATGATCATTATATGTTCCCTTTTGGCGATTGGCCGCCCCCGGCAAAACCACGCTGCAATTCCACGCGTTCCAGACAAGGCCTGCGTACCTTATGACCCATCAATTACGGTCTAAAACCTACAAGCCCCATCTAAGACCTAATAAAGACCCCAACCAGGAGTGCACTCAGAGGCCCAGCAAAGCGCTTTGCATGAATCTTCCCCACACTGCCGAAGTGCAGAGTGGCGCAGGGTTTTGCAACCCTAAACCCTAAACCCTAAGCGGTGTGGTTTCCAGAGGCCCCTTGTTCGTTGCATAATGCTGCTACACCTAGAAGGCTACCGGCAACCCTAAACCCTAAACACTAAACCCCTACTTGGACGTTCATGGGTCGTTATAAGTGGGGTTATAAGTAGGGTAACTATCCATATTAGGGGACTTATAACCCTACTTATAACTACCCATGAACCTCCAAGTAGCGGCATCACTTTTGAGGATGTTCATTGTGCATTATCAAGGCCTGTAGAGCTAGATCATGGTCTTTCAAGCTGTAGATGGGAGGGCTTTGAGCATCAGCGGTTAGGCCCCAAGGGGAGAGGGGAAGAGCTTTAGTTGTTCACTTTAGGGTGTTTAGGGTTTAGGATTCCTAGGGTGTAAAATTTGTATGATTCGGCATGCGGCGCTTAAGATCTGTAGCATAGGGCCTCGGTCCAAACCCTAAACCCTAAACCCTAAGCCATAACCCTATAACCCCAAACCGTGGAGATTTCCGCGCAAAGCCCTGCGGAAACCGTTCCCAGCCTTTTAAGCGACCTTTCGGGGAGCTTCTGCCGGCTCTGCACATCCAAAAGACCCGACCCTGCCTATAGTATCCATTGTAGTTTCTTTTTTGGGGTTGAACTAAATCTATATTAAGGATCCTAAGAGGTAACCCCCAAAAAGGAACTACAATGGAGACTAGAAGGCTCTAAACCAACACATACTAGTAGAGGGGTGTAGGGTTTAGGGTGACTAGCAATGCGTAGTTTTCTAAGTTAGGGTCCCTGTTCAGGCCCCCAATATAGTGCTGAAAGGTGCCCTAATTTAGAGAACTGCTCACATGCAAACCAACAGAGGCCACATGCCCCATTTAAGGGCTTCATCAGGGGCCCTGGTTGTTCCTACAGCCCGAACCCATGCCCTGGACCACGAGACTTTGTCCCTACAACTGCTCCTGAACCTGCGAGCCCCAGACCCTGAATTCTAAACCCAGATGCGCAAACCCACTAATGTAGGAACCTGATTAAGAAACCCTGGGCCTTTATTAGGCTTCTTACTAAGAACTCTGATATATTGGTGTTATATAAGGCCAGGGTTTCTTAATCAGGTTCCCACATTAGTCCAAACCGTAGACTCAAGACACCAGAGTTTGAGTCCTGGCTTGATGGAGAGAATGTTCCCCTTTTGAGCTGTCGGAGTCGAGGCGTGGCTACGGAGTAGAAGATTTCTGCTCAGAAAAAGACTGACTTGGGGCTCTGCCTTACTCCAGTTTCTTTTTTGTTGGCTATACTTTCTTGTTCATTAACGGATCCTAACCCTAAAATCGGTCAACAAGATTTCTGCTCAGGAAAAGACTGACTTGGGGCTCTGCCTTCCTCCAGTTCTTTTATTTGGTTACTTTCTCGTTCATTAAAGGATCCTAACCCTAAAATCGGTCAACCAGAAAGGAGCCATGACATGGCGATTCCCGGTGGGCTTTGAGAGTGGGGCTTAGGGCCGTCTGGATGTGCCGGGTTCAGGGTTTTAGGGTTAGGGTTTACCTACCCCCCCCCCCCCCCAAAAAAAAAAGTAGGTAAAATAATGGCCCAAAACCCATAAAAGGCTATTATTCTACATACTTTTGGGGTCCAGGTAGGCATTCTCCGACAGGGTTCTGCAAAACGGCGCCATAAGTCTGGTCGGCTTCGAATCTTCCGTGGCAGTGTGGCAGTTCAGGAACTCACTGTGGACACAGAGAGAGAGAGAGAGAGAGAGAGAGAGAGAGAAAGAGAGAGAGGGAGGTGTGAGCATAATATTATATATACATATATATATATATATGTGTGTGTGTGTGTGTTCACACATATTATAAGTATAAGTATGTATGTATGCACCCCGTGTTGCGTGGCTTAGGTGCGAGCCAAGTCAGTGCAGCTTGCGTGTACACTGAGCCCGGAGGGCGCTGATCAGCCGCCTGGTCGAAATGAGGATTTAGGATTAAGGGTCTATCGGCTTGATGCGTTTTGTCTCAGGGTTTTAGGATTTTGTGTTGCTTGTGTTTTTGTGTTTGCGAGTTCGGAGGTGTACAGGTTTGTGGTTTAATTGAGGTTTGAAGCTTCAGGCGTACTGGAGGGGCAGAGGTAGTGTCTGTGGCGTTCCGGCGTGTTTCGACAATTACGTTGTTGTGGATCGTGTGCTGTGGGGGTCGAGAAAACTAGTGATAGTATCCCCTATAGTTTACGCCCAACAAGTATAGTTTACAGTATGGCATAACGCTCCCTATTGTTTGTGAGGTTTCGGTATGTGAGGGTAGGATTTAGGGTTCTGGTTTAGGGGAGAGGGCTTGGGGTTTAGAATACGGGGTTGAGGGTAGAAGATGCAGGGATTTAGGTGTTCAAGGTTGTTTGTGAAACAGACAAGAGTCGCACGATTGACCCCATCACCTGGTTCTGGGTAGCTTGTTGCACTTAGGTTCGCACTACATATGTATATATATATATATGTATACATACATATGTACACTCAGAAGCTACACAAGGCTATAGGACACCTGCGCCCGACACCTGAAAGCCCACTCCCAGCCCTAGAGGGCTCAACTCCCCAGCCCTGGCCTCTCAAACCAAAAGCCCTGGGCCCGGAGAGTGGCTTGTGTATGTCACAGAAGGACACAAACGTATAGGTTTTAGGGTTTAGGGTTTAGGGTATTTTGGGTTTAGGGTTTAGGGTATAGGGTTTAGGGTTATAAACCCTATAAGCCCTATTTTCCCTAAACCCTATAAACCCTAAACCCTAGAAACCCTAAACCCTATAAAGCCCTATAAACATAGACCTCCCAGGTGGACGCTCAGCTTCATCTTCGATGCCTTAGTCCCCTGCGAGGCCCAGTCATCACTAATGGGGTTTAGGGTTTAGGGTTTAGGATTTAGGGTTTAGGGTTTAGGGTTTATCGTCGTTAACTTCTTATAAGCATCAGCCTAGACTGGTTGTTAAGGCCTCTTTACGAGGCACGTGTAAGCCCGCATAAAGCCTTATAGAGACTTATAAGCCCCTATTGCAGTAACCCCTATAAAGCCCTTATAACCCTAACCCCTAAACCCCTTACTAAACCCCAAACCCTAAACCCCTAAACCCCTAAACCCTAAACCCCTAAACAAAGACCCCCCCCCACTGGGCTCGCTGGGAGAGCGCAGGTCGTATCCCCTACAAAGCCCTTATAAAGACCCCTATTACAGTAACCCCTATAAAGCCCCATAAAACCCTTATAAAACCCCGTCATTAAAGGCCACCCCGCTGGCTCGCTGAGAGAGCGCAGGTCCTGGTCCACGTCGGCCGCGGGTGCAGTCTCGAGGTTCGGTCGACGCTGCCTCTTCCGGAGCAAGGCAGGGGGGTAGGGTTTTGGGGTGGGGGTTAGGGTTTAGGGGCTTCGTTTTGTGTTCTGTGTGTTCTATGAGATATCATATGAAGGAGCCCTGTCCAGGCTAAGATGATGCGACGGAAAAGGGCTTGGGGGCTGGATTTAGGGTTCAGCGTTTCGATTTTGGTGCCACTCTCTATCTACACATGAACAAAATAGGGGGAGACGAGATGTCTGGAACTCTCCCCGGCCTGGGAGAATTTAGGGCACGGATGGTTGAGGGTATCCTGTGTCTCTTGAAACCGCCGAACCTGTGAACTTTCCGGGCCCCCTTTTGAAGCATCTGTTGGCTTCAGGGGCGAGCTATGAAAGATTAGCGATGGCAATGACAGGGCTGAGCCGAAAACAGGGCTCTCTGGTGGCCTACCAGGCTGCATGTGCCTGCTCGGGTGTGAAGGTCATGACCTACGGTGGGCCGATGCAGATTACAAACTGTCACTGCGACGCCTGCCATGCTGCGACGGGCCACTCCTACGCGATCTGGGCTGCCTACCCCTTGTCTCGGACTCTCCTCATAGTGAACAGCCCTATCCGTTCCTTCCGCATCAGCGAGAATGGTGCTGACCGTTTCTTCTGCGGCCGTTGTGGCTGCAGTGTGGCCATGCAGTACCACCCAAACTCTGTGCCGTGGCCAACAGCAGGGCATGGAAGTTTGACTTTTTTCGTATTTTGTCGTAGAGAAGGTTGAAATTGCAAGCTCTACATCGTGAACCCTTAAATTCTGGACTCTAAACTTGCGCTTTTATACAGAGCCGACAGGTATGGCCGGAATACCACACCGTGTGGCTGGCGCGACACTTTGCAGAGTTGACAGGAGGCTGTGATGAGGTCCACATCTTCCGAGAGGACGAGCCCATGGACAGCGCGCCGCTGCCCACCACCGAGGACTTCACTCTCTACACCCGCAATCTCTTCATAGTTAGAAGTTGAAGGAATCACTAGCATTACTCCCTGTCGAATTCCTACATACTCGTGCGAAATTAACGTACCCCGGGGGTCGAAGAGTAAGGCTATTTTCTGTGTAGCGTAGACCTGAGGCCCTGCCCACGACTCATGGGCTGAGGTTTCAGTGCTCAGGTTTTATCGGGTTATCGGGTTTAGGGTTCAGGTTTATCGGGTTTAGGGTGATTGCCTGGACGATTTAGATTCCTGTGACGAGAATGACTGGCGCAAAAGAGCTGAAATCGAAAGGGTTCAGCCAATTGCGGCAACATTCGCCGTCGTCCCTGATTCTTTGCCCCCTAAACCCTAAACCCTGCGTTGATTCGGGCTTTTGGGTTCACTTAGAATTTTTGGCTCAAAGGAGTTTCAGATGCCTCCCGGACCGCGACAAGATCAAGGGGCAGCGGAGCCGGTAGCTGCCGGCACCTTGAATGCTGACGGGACCTAGTAGGGGGTCCTTGTTGGATACTTTTTTTTGCATTTTGTTGTTAAAATGGAGCCCCAATAAGGATTAAACCTGACAATCTTTTAATATATAGCCCCAACAGGGAACCAGTAGTAGGGGGCCAACAGTGTTGAGGGTGTTGGGGGAAATGTGCCTGCGCTCCTAACTAGCATCGAAAAACAGCACCAAAAGTGAGTCTGACTCTTCACCCAACAGAGTACATCACTCTGGTAGGAAGGACCCTTACTTCTAGACTTGAATGAACCCCTCAATGACGTTGATTTGAAGGTCTTTCAACTTTCAAGCTTAGAATCAGAACACTCTTTCGAATCCGGTTGCCCGAATCCCGGACCTCCAACACCCTCAAAGCCTAGTTCTTTAAGCCTTCAAGCCTTGCTGAAGACGCTCACCTTTCACCTTAAAGCCTGAACTCCTCAAGCCGAAGGCCACATACCCCTGGACCCTCAACCGCCCGAAGCTCCTGTTGTCAGCGCGGGCGAAGAGGCTCACTGCAGACCCCAAACCTTGAAGCCTGAAGCCTTGAAGCCTTAAACATCCAGTTGAAGAGATTCACCCTAAAACATATGGGTAGTCCTCTAAATTAGGGTCCATTTTTGGGTCCCCCCAGTATAGTAAAATGGGACTCTACTTTAGAGAACTACCCATATAAGCAATAAAGCCTAAACCCGTGAAAGCCTATAGAGCACCCAACAAAGCCATAGAGTCCCCTAAACCTCGAACAAGCCCATGTAGACCTATGCAATGAGGTTCACCCCAATCCCCGAAGCATTCAAGCCCAAACCCTGAAGCCCCAAACCCCAAGATCCTTAATTTCCTAATTTCGGTTGAATGATTACCAAGGCCATTCCGTTGGGCTCCTTGTTAACATGATATATTTATACAGCACAACATAGCCGAAGACGTATTCTCATGAATTATGAAGGCACCTTTTTGGAGCCGGAAGCCCTAAACCCTACCTGGACCCAAAAAGTATGTAGAACAATAGCCTTTTTCATGGGTCTTGGGCAATAATTTTACCTAGTTTTGGGGGCTTAGGTAAGCCCTAAGCCCTAAACCCTAAACAGGTGAAGAGGCTCACCTACGGATCCTGGATCCCAAGTTGGAGTTCCTGCCCCCCAGCGGGTGGCTGGGCGTCCAGCGACCAGCCTGGCTGATGGCTGAAGAGCAATGAGGCCCAGAAGGATCCCCCACTTTAGGGTTTGGGGGTTTAGGGGTTAGGGTTTAGGGGTTTAGGGGTTTCGGGCTTCAAAAGGAAAGGGTATCGTTTATCTTCAGCGGAAGATAGGTATCGAGAACTTTGACCAGATAACGGCATCCATGAAGTTCTGGGCCAGAGGTAGCATTTAAGTCTGCGGGGGTTTGGGGCTCCAGAATCTCATTCCGGTCCCGTGGACCAAGGATAGAAAGCTTTAGGGCTTTCGGGCTTTTAAGGTTTTCGGGCCTGGGCCTCCCTTGCACTCGCTGAGACTTTGTTACAGGCTTTACTTTGAAAGGTATCATCAGAGGGGTGTACTTGGAGGTTCATGGGTAGTTATAAGTAGGGTTATAAGTCCCTCAATATGGGTTATGACTATAGTTACCCTAATTATAACCCCACTTATAACTACCCATGAACCTCCAAGTGACTAAACAGTAGGGTCTCCTCGGTATGGTCGGGGGGAGGGAATTCAGCTTCCTAAGAAGAACCCCCGTATTCGATGCAATGAAGATAGCCGAACACCCCGGGTGTTTTTTGGGTTCCAAGCTTCGATGCAAGACGTGTGTGTAGAGTCCTTACAGCGGCCTCAAGGACGTGGGGTCCTGGGTCTGAGAATACCCTGATGTAGTGGTCTGTAAAAAAAGTGCTAATTGATAGGATTGCTCTCTAGTTCCGATCTAGATATCGCTTAATATACACGCAAAAGCGTATATTACCAACTGTTTTGAAGCCCCCAAATAAAATTAAGTCGCTGATCCTAAACGCTGAAGCCCTCAACCAAAGAGTTAGAGTTATAGGCTAAACCCTAAACCCCAAACCCTAAGAGTTATAGGATCCTTGAAACGGGTCGGCGCTCGCGGAGTGACGAGAACAGGGTTCTGCCGCAGTGCTTCTGTGATCTCGGTTTGAAGTTTCACATATTCCCAGTGAGCCCAAGACCTTTGAACGAAGGAATGTGCCGAAATCATGAGACGGAACCCTTTATACGATTAAAGCTAGTGCTCTACCCTGTTCATTCGCGCGTTGATGTTTCTGATTCAGGATTACCCTAAGGGTCCATGTAGCCATATAGATATACTTTGGCCTTAAAGTAGTCCCCATATAAGTACTTCGGGGCCGATGTATAATATACTATTTGGGTACATGGACCCTTACGTTCCTTGTTTGAGGAGTCTCAGGGGCTCCCTAGGCCACAGAAGCGAGACGTGGAGAAATGGTGCGCTGGTGCTAAGAAATGGCCAAGGGCATCAAACCACACAGAAGCCCCTGCTCCTAAACCCCGCAATCCGCAAGCCCTGCACCCTAAACTCTAAAACCCTCAACCTAAAACCCTAAAACCCTAAACCCCAAAACCCCCAAAACCCTAACGCCCTAAAACCCCCAAAACCCCAAAACCCTGAACCCCGAAAGCCCCCCAACAATCAGTCCCAAGAGCCTCACACCCCACGTAAGACAGGCTCCAAACCTCCAGAAAACCTCCACCTGGAAGCCCTCAGGGTTTAGGGTTTATGGGTTTAGGGTTTATGGTTTTAGGGGTTTAGCGTTTGGGGTTTAGTCTCGTTTCATGGGTGACCAAGGCCGTCATTACCCGGAGATCACACATAATCTGACGATCTACTTAAGGAATATACCTTACATTAGACATGATACAAGTCTTCTTTTTAAGAGTCCTGGTATATTCCAAAGATCAGCAAGGGATTCCTAGGTTCAGCAAGGGGCTGTCTAAGTCAGACATGAAAGCCTATTGTTGCGCAAGCCCCCTTAATTAAAGGCCAGAGCTTCTACTAAACGAGTCTATGGAAACCTTAATTTAAGGTTTAGGGTTTAGGGTTTAATAAGCTCTCAAAAATAAACCCTGATTACTGAACTTAGACTCGCATTCAAGGCGCAGCGCAGAAAGCGTACGGCCAAAATACAGGAGGCGGTCAAGGTTTAGGGATGGAGAAGCTTCCATTCACCAGAAAAAACCGAGGGCACTCGTGCAGTAGCTCCTCCCTAGACCCTATAAACCCTGAACTGCCGAGAGCGCCGCTGACCATGTGCTGGGCGCTCGAGGCCGAGGCCCCCGGCCGAGCGTCTCGTCAGAACGGTGAGGGAGGGTAAAGCCTCCCGGTATACGAGGACTGTAGTGGCCCAGCCCCGCCATTGACTTTTCTGCCGTTGGCAGCAAAGATGGACCCCAAACCCCTCGCCGTTGGGCCTCACCGTTGAGGTGTTTTTGGTCTGTCTGGGGGGTCTGGGGGGAATTTCAGGGGGGTCTGGGGCCCAGGCTGGCGACTAGCCCTGCAAAACACGCTTCTTAAGAACAGTTGCACTGCTTTGCCCTGCTTTCGAGCTACCCTGACAGGGTGCGAGAGGCCAATTGTTTTGTTGGGAAGCCTTGCTTGCTTCTCGTCGAGCGGCCGGCACAGGCCGCGAGGACCCACAACCCGACAGGAATCCATCTCAGTTCTGGTTGCTGTGAAACGCACATTTTCTGCAGAGCTGTGAAGGGAAGCAAAGAGCAAGAAAGCCCCGTGAGGGGGTTTTGGGGGGTGAACCCTAAACCCTAATTGAGAATAGTTGGGGTGGTTGGGGCGGACTACATACTGACGCAAACGTGCGATTAGTGGGTGCGCCCCTATTCCTTTTGTCTTTGGCGCACCCACCGCGCGCACACTGTCTACACACCCTAAACCCTAAACCCAGCATGCTGACCCGTGAACCAAATGGATGGTAAGGGTTTTTGAATACCAGGCGAAGTCTCAACTCATCTATCTGCCGAACCGACTGTCTATCAACCTATCTATCGATCTACCTTGTCTAACCTAATCTTAACCTATTTCGACCTGATCTTATCTAATTAGCCTTTTGTAATCTAGTCTAAGGAATGACATGTTCCTCTCATCCATTCTCGTTTGTTCTCATCCATACACATCTATTCTAATCTTCTCCCATCTTCCTCATCTTTTCCGCTCTCTTCTCACCGTGTCTGTTATAATCCCTTTCTGTTGTTTTCTACGTTGTCCTACTCCATTCTCATCTGTTCTCATCTATTCTCTTCTGTTCGCATTCATCTCTCTGTCCAATTATCTGTCTATCTATCTATCTATCTATCTGTCTATCTGTCTCTCTGTCTCTGTCTCTCTCTCTCTCTCTCTGTCTCTGTCTCTCTCTCTCTCTCTCTCTCTGTCTCTGTCTATCTGCCTGTCTGTCCGTGTGTCTGTCTGCCTGCCTGTCTATCTATCTACCTATCTACCTACCTATCTATCTACCTACTTATCTATCTGTCAATCTATC